CATGTTTTATTTGCTTAGATTTTCTAATATTTCAATAGTGTATTATACTTTTCTATGTAGAGGTTTTGTATTCTTGCACATTATATTTATTACTATATATTTTATGTAGCTATTATAAATTTGTTATTTGCTCTATGGCATGCTACCATGAATCAATGGATCAACTAGATAGATATAGTGTTAGAATTGTGAATGGTTTTAATAAAACATTTAATTCTATATGGTTCAGTTGTCAAATACAAAATTTTCCACTTTGCTTACAAATGTTGTAACATAGAGTTGGGTGCAGCAGCTCATGCCTTTAATCCTAGCACTTTGGGAGGCCAAGACAGAAGGACACTACTTGAGCATAGGAGTTCAAGACCAGCCTGAGCAACATAGCAAAACCTTGTCTCGGCCGGACATGGTGGCTCAAGCCTGTAATCCCAGCACTTTGGGAGGCCGAGGCGGGTGGATCACGAGGTCAAGAGATCGAGACCATCCTGGTCAATAGGGTGAAACCCCGTCTCTACTAAAAATACAAAAAATCAGCTGGGCATGGTGGCGCGTGCCTGTAATCCCAGCTCCTCAGGAGGCTGAGGCAGGAGAATTGCCTGAACCCAGGAGGTGGAGGTTGCAGTGAGCCGAGATCGCGCCATTGCACTCCAGCCTGGGTAACGAGCGAAACTCCGTCTCAAAAAAAAAAAAAAAAAAAAAACCTTGTCTCTACTAAAAAACAAAAAAATGCCAGGCATGGTGGCATGTGCCTGTAGTCCTAGCTACTTAGGAGGCTGAGGTGAGAGGATTGCTGGAGTCCAAGAGATGGTGGCTGCTGTGAGCTTCATCAAATCACTGCAAGATGTCCTTTGGTAGGTGAATGAATTAACCATAGTACATCCAAACCATGAACTATTATTCAGTGCTAAAAGGAAATAAGCTATCAAGTCATGAAAGGACATGGAGGAACCATAAATGCACTTTACTAAGTGAAAAAAGCCAATCTGAAAGGCTATATACTGTAATATTCCAACTATGTGACATTCTGGGAAAGGCAAAACCATAAAGAGAGTAAAAATCTGTGGATACCAGTGGTTAGCAGGAAGAGAGGAATGAATAGATGAAGCACAGATAATTTTGAGGGCAGTGAAACTATTCTGTATGATACTACAGTGATGGATACACATCATTAAACATTTGTCAAAACCCACAGAATGTACAGCACCAATAGAGAATTCAGTACAAATATGCATGAATTCTTCATTTGGGTAGTATGCAGAAAAGAGTTACCCTAACAGGCCTAAGACTGCTATCCTCAGAAAGTCCTGCTTCCTAAAGGTTGGCCTCTAGGTGGAGTTGGGAGTGTTCCCACTGTCACCTAAGTCTCTAATGAGCTTCCATTAGAGAAGACAACACTTCCCACATGTCACAACGTGATGCTTGTGCTTGGCTTCCTCCTGTCTTTTTCCGGTGCACTTTTTCCCTTTGCTGCTTTTGCTTTATATTCTTCTGCTGTAATAAATCTTAACTGTGGGTACAACTGAGTCCTATAAGTTCTTTTAGTGCATCACTGAACCTGGGGGTGATCTTAGGGATCCCCAACAGAGATACATATGTGTTTTCTTCTGCGTCACAGAATATAGTCTGATTCTATGAGTCAGAGGCCTTTTTCTTCAAAATTCAATTCAATGCAACCATTCATATTAACAACATAGTTATATTTCAGTATAATGGGGGATTGGTTCCAGGACTCCCAGATACCAAAATCCATGGATGCTCAAGTCCCTTATGTAAAATGGCATAATCTATGCACATCCTCCTGTATACTTCACATAAACTCTAGATTATAACACAATGTAATGCTATGTTGACAGTTGCTATCACTGTATTTTTAAATTGCTATATTTGTTATTTTTAAATATTGTTTTTGTTTTGTTTTTTTCTTTTTTCTTTAAAAAAAAGAAGAAAGAAAGAAAGAAAGAAAAAGAATGAAGGAGAGGAAGAAAGAGGAAGAGGAAGAGGGAGAGAGAACGAGGGTGTTGCTTTATTGCCCGGGCTAGAATGCAGTCTAAAAATGGGTATGCCTATAATTGTGCTTAATAATAGAGACATTAAAAAAAATGAGGGAAGAAAATAACTAACAGGAAGCCAACCAATATTTCATTTAAACCTGTAAATAGGTGTGATGTGGTATTGATAAGAGTGTATATTTTGTGTATTTAAAGTGGAGAGTTCCATAAATGTTAAATTTTTTTTTTTCCTTTTTTTTTTTTTTGAGACGGAGTTTCGCTCTTGTTACCCAGGCTGGAGAGCAATGGCGCGATCTCGGCTCACCGCAACCTCCGCTTCCTGGGTTCAGGCAATTCTCCTGTCTCAGCCTCCTGAGTAGCTGGGATTACAGGCACACACCACCATGCCCAGCTAATTTTTTGTATTTTTTTTAGTAGAGACGGGGTTTCACCATGCTGTCCAGGACGGTCTTGATCTCTTGACCTTGTGATCCACCCTGCCTCGGCCTCCCAAAGTGCTGGGATTACAGGCTTGAGCCACCGCGCCCGGCCATAAATGTTAATTAAGTCTACTTGTTCTGGATCTGAGTTCAAGTCCTGGATATCATTGTTAACTTTCTGTCTCATTGATCTGTCTAATATTGATGTCGAAGTCTCCCCCTATTACTTGTGTGGGAGTCTAAGTCTCTTTATAAGTCTTATATATCTGGGTATTCCTGTATTGGGTGCGTATATATTTAGGATCTTTAGCTCTTCTTGTTACACTGATCCTTTTATCATTATGTAATATCCTTCTTTGCTTCTTTTGATCTTAGTTGCTTTAAAGTATATTTTATCAGCAAAAATGGCAACTCCTGCTTTCTATTTATTTATTTATTTATTTTTGCTCTCCATTTGGTTGGTAAATCTTTCTCCTATTTTTAAATATTGTTATCTGACATTGGTTAAAACCATGGATGTAGAAACTCTGGTTATGGTGGTTCAATTGTACTTTTTTTAAGCTTTTTTTTCTTTTGAGACAAGATCTTGTTTTGTCACCCAGTGCAGTGGCGTGATCACACTTCACTTCAGCCTCGCCCTCCTGGCCTCAAGCAGTCCCCTCATTTCAGCCTCCTGAGCAGCTGGGACTATGAGCTTTCATCACCACACTGGCAAACAGGGCTAATTTTTTGCTTTTGATTTTTTTGTAGAGATAGGATCTATGTTCCCCAGGCTGGTCTCAAACTCCTGGCCTCAAGTGATCCTCCTGCCTCGGCCTGCCAAAGTGCTGGGACTGCAGGTGTGAGCTACAGTGCCTGGCCCAGTTTTTCATTCTGAAAACTCGTATTCTTCAGTCCTGAGAGCCTTGATAATTACTTCTTTTCTTTTTTTCTTTTTCTTTTTTTTTTTTTTTGAGGCCAGAGTCTCTGTCACTGAAGCTGGAGTGCAGTGGTATGATCTCTGCAAACTTTGCCTCCCTGGTTCAAGGGATTCTCTTGCCTGAGCCTCCCAAGTATCTAGGATTACAGGCGCCTGCCACCACACCAGAGACAGGTTTTCACCATGTTGGCCAGGCTGGTCTGAAACTCCTGACCTCAGGTGATTCACCTGCCTTGGCCTTCAAAGTGCTGGGATTACAGGCATGAACCACTGTAACCAGCCTAAATGACTTCTTTCTTCTGATTAGTGCTACTCTGCTTCTCAAGCATCCTTAAGAATTATTTAATTATTTCATCCCCTGTGTACTGCTTTTCCAATTTTCTTATCTTTCAGAGTTTTTGCTCTACATTCCTTAATGTTATCTTCTGCTAATAGTTTTTTCACTTCGTTCTTTCTTATTTCCAATAGCTTTTTAAAAATCCCCTACCCCTTTTATTGCACCCTGTTGTGGCTTCATCTTCTCTTATTTTTCTGGGGCTACTATGAGAATTTTTAAAAAGTGTTCTTCCTGCAGTATCTGCTTCCTCCATATTCCTTTGTCTGTTGTGTGGGTCCCTTCCTTCTACATTATTGGATTTTCTTGGTTGCTGTCCATGATTAAAAGTAAAAATTAAGTACAAAGAGAGGAAGCTCCAAGTAGATAGCCGGTGCTTTTGACTTTGAATTTCACTGTAGGGTGATCTGGGTGTATGATTTGTCCAGAAAATCCCTGAGGTCAGTATCTTTGCTCAGCCTCTTAGGTTAATCAGATTCTGATCAGCCTAGCAAGGGGTTTCAGTTTTCAGTTGGCAATAAAGCCACTTTTTCTCCGTTTTAGGTGGAGTACCCACTCAGCAGAGAATTCGCCCCCTCTGGGGAATTCAGCCGTGGTGGGGAGCCGGTGGGTGGGGAAGTGGGGCAGCGGCCCAGAGACATGAAGGTGGAAAATGGATCTAGCGGTCAGAGTCCTTGAGCAGCCTTCGACTAATGTCCCATTTTTTAAATTTACCTCTCATACTCATACTTGTGCTCTCCAGCTTCCAACATTTTGTTGCTGTTCTCTTTGCCCTTGTGTGTTTAGGTTGTTACTTAATTTTAACAGGAGAGTAGTCAAAATTAGATGCTTGAATTCAAACCGTGATCTTAGCTCAGACCTCATTATCTGCAAGTAAAAATTTTTGGTATTCCAGCTTTCTTTTGATTAGCAAAATAAAAACGAAAACTCTTTTGGTTACGCCAACCATGTTACTCAGTAGGCCCTTCCAAAGACACCCATTTCTCTATTTTGGGGATCCCCTTGTACCTTCAGATTGCACAAGGATTATTCGACCAGCCACGACAGAACGAAATGCAGACTGTTGGGAGGATTATAAACAGTAGGGGTGATACCCATTTGAGTCCACGAACGGCTCTCTCGGCGCTGCAGGCACTGGCTGTCCCCGGAGACCCTCCAGCAGCCACTTAACTTCACCCACCCGTAGCGACCCAGACGCTCGACGCCCAACCTCTGCCCGCCCCGGAGCCCTGCCCCACCCCGGAGCCCCGCCCCCATCCCCGGAGCCCCGCCCCTTTCTACCCCTCTTCACCCCTCCCTTCCGGGACGCGCAGCAGGCCCCGCCCACCCAGGCGCTAGGAACAAGCTGTGGCCCCTTCGACCCGCTGCCATGTCCCGGCCGCAGCTCGGACGCTGGCGCCTCCTAGCTCGCCAGCCCCGCGGCGTTCTGGGTCTAGCGCTGCTAGCATTGCTGGCGCTGCCGCTCGCGGCCGGGACCGACTGCCCGTGCCCGGAGCCCGAGCTCTGCCGTCCGATCCGCCACCGTCCAGACTTCGAGGTCAGCGCCTTCCCCTGCTCCTTTATGTCTGGGCCTCAGGGCACGAAGAAGTTGTCAAGAGTAGAACCGAGCCCTTAGGATTAGGAGAGGTGCTGTGACCGCCGAAACCAGCTTTGACCACTCCGTGAGGGCCTTCCTGCTTACAGAGCCTTCAATTTATAGATGAGGAAGCTCGGGCTCAGAGAGCTTAACGCCTCACAGGCCTCACAGCCTGTAAGTGCCTGCCTAGCAGGCGAGTGTTCAAACCAAATCTGACTCCTAAGGCAAGCTCCTTTCATTCCCCTGCTCTGCTTCTGCCGAGGCACTCTGGGTGTAAAAAGCAAACAAGGTAGGATAATCTATTTCTGTGTTTCCAAGAGAATGAGGATTTTGTTTGAAAGAATCTCAGCACTCCCAACAGTATATTAGATTGCAGAATATTTTGCTTACCTTTACTTTTCTATACCTACTAGCCCTTTCCTTCAAAGCATCTCAAAACCGCCCAAGAAGAGTGGTAAAAATAGGTCTTTCAGTACATTTTTATTCTATCTGCGTAACAATTTATAAGGCTTCAAGTCCATTAACCTGAGGCATGGGCACTTGGTTGCCAGTAAAAAAGTATATATACATGACTTAGGAGAAGAAATAAAAATGGTGAAAGTGTTTATGGATAACCTGCCTAGTGTGGAAACCTAACATCTTATTAAAAGAAAAATTGCAGACAAAGTAGGATAACCTTGTTTATTTGAGCAAAGAACAACTTATGAATCGGCAGTACTTAAATTAGAAGGGTTTCAAAGAGGTCTACTTTAGTAGCATGGGCTTTTTATAGGCTGAACACGGAAGCAAAGGAAAATAATTACTTGGTTGGCTATGACTGTTTGCCTTATTTAGCTATGACTTGGGGAAGAATTCCTAGTTAGAAAAATTCCTGCCTAATTGGCAGTTTCTGATAGGTTAAGCTTAAGTTTCCCTTCACTATTTACATTGGGCTGTAGTTTGCTTAAGCAGGAAATCCAAAGCAGTTGGAACAGTTTCAGCATAATGGCCTCCCAGTTAAAAAGTTTTAAACAATCATTAAAAAGTTTTAAACAATCAGGCCGAGTGCAGTGGTAGAGGTAGTGGGGGCAGTAGCTGTGAAAGTTAAACCAGACATTTCTTAATTTTCTCAATCTCTTTTTGAGATTGATAATCATTTTGTAAGGCCAAGGCAGGCAGATCACTTGAGGTCAGGAGTTCGAGAACAGCCTGGCCAACATCGTGAAACCCCGTTTCTACTAAAAAATACAAAAATTAGCCGGGTGTGGTGGAGGGTGCCTGTAATCCCAGCTGCTCAGGAGGCTGATGCAGGAGAATCGTTTGAACCTGGGAGGCGGAGCAGGCGGTGGAGGTTGCAGTGAGCTGAGGTCACACCACTGCACTTCAGTCTAGGCGACTGGGCAAGACACCCAGTCGCCCAGACTGAAGACTGTCTCAAAAAAAAAAACCCGCAAAAAACAACAACAAAAAACAATAGTGGGTTAGACAATATCTGTCGGCACTTTGAAAACCTACTATAGAAAGAAGCAAAATTATGCTCATGAATGTTCATGGTAAATGGTCTTTTTCCCCTACTGGCGTTTTCTATGTTTTTCAAACACAAAGACTAGACTACATGGCATTTTCCCATTATATTTTTGTTAAGCATGCTCTGAATGAAGAGCCCACCTAAACAGCCTTTGTATGAGCAACAAGGCTGTTTATTCACCCAGGTGCAAGTACGCTGAGTCTGAAGAGAGAATCAGCAGAGGGCGGTGGGATAGGAGTTGGTTTTATAGGTTTGGGGTAGGCAGTGGAAAGTTACAGAAGTTATAGTTCAGGGTGTTTTTTTGTTGTTGTTTGTTTGTTTTGAGACAGAGTCTCACTGTTGCCCAGGCTGGAGTGCAGTGGTGTGATCTCAGCTCACTATATATAACTGCAACCTGTACCTCCTGGGTTCAAGTGATTCTCCTTACTCAGCCTCTGGAGTAGCTGGGACTACAAGCATGTGCCACCATGCCCGGCTAATTTTTTGTTTTTTTAATAGAGATGGAGTTTCACCGTGTTAATCAGGATGGTCTCAATCTACTGACCTTGTGATTCAACCGCCTCGGCCTCCCAAAATGCTGGGATTACAGGTGTTAGCCATCCTACCTAGCCATTCAGAGTGGTTTTTTGCAAGCCCAAGGGTGTGAGGGGGAAGGAGGGTCACCGGTGCAAGGTCCAGTGTCACAAGGTTGGCTTATCAGTTAAGCCAGAATAGTGGTGGAATGTGTCAAGGATGGTTAATCAGGCACTGCAGGATCTATCTATTCTTCTCTCCTTGCAGGGGGAGGGGAATGTCACAAGGTCCAAGGTTCAATGTCACAAGATTGGCTTATCAGTTAAAGCAGGAACAGTTGAGGTAGGAACAATGGCAGAGCTAGCCATTCTTTCTTCTTTTCTAGAGATGTACATGCAGGTCACAGGGGTCACCATGGCTTGACCATGGTGCAGCCCGTTCAGAACCTTGCATTCCTGCCTTTTTATATTAATAATATAAAGGAAAAAGGTAAAAACTAGAAACAGTTGTGGGGGCAGTGAAATTTTGGGGGGTATAGAGGGGTGATGGGCGATGTTTCTCAGGGCTTCTTTGGGTGGGATTGGGGTGGCGTGCAGACCTAAAAATGAGAAAGAATTTAGACTGCCAAGAGATTTTGGGGCAAAGGTTGATATAGTGGGGTTGTTAAAAGGAGCGTTTGTTGTACTGACTGATTGGTTATAGCTTGGATACGATTTTGTAGGAATTAAGAGATTAGTCTGAAAAGGCAAGGTCTGCACTTAATCTTAGCCAAAAGGCCGAGAAGTGATGAAAAGGCAAGGTCTGAATAAGAGAAGCAGAAAAATGGGCGGCTAAGGGGCCTGACAATGGAAGGAGCCCTGATACCCAGTTAGAGAGTAGCCATCTAGGTCCAGAATAATTATTTGCCTGATTAGTGAGCTTTTGGGCCCTGTCTTTAAGTCTTTGATGGCATCATATACAAGGCTGGATTGGTTTAGATAAAAGCAACATTCTTCATTTAGGAATAGGCAGAGTCCTCCTTTCTCGGCAGCCAGTATATCAAGGCCTCGGCGATTTTGGAGGATAGCAGCAGCCAGGGAATTAACTTGGGCTTGGAGAACAGATAGAGTTTTGAGTTATGTCTGAAATGCTGGCAGAAAAATCAAGGGACTGCAGAAAGTGGTGATGAAGTAGTGAGGCCTGCTGTGCCTGTCCCGATTGCAGCAGTGGAGACTGCTAATCCTACAAGCAAGAGGGATAATGGAACGACTCTTTTTTTGTCATGTAGGAGTTACAAAGGGGACAGGGAGGGGTTCATTTCCGTTGGCAAACTGGATTTTGGGAGTAAGGAAAATTAGCTTGTCCACTTGTTAGGAAGGCAGAGGTAGATGGAAGAGCCACAGAGGAAAAAAAGTCCTTGGCTGAGGCAGAATTGGAAGTGTAGACTGAAGAGGTAAGAAAGTGTTCTGGGGGACTGCAGTCTTTCACCCAGACACCAAGGGAACCAGCAAAGGCCGTGGCTGTTAAAGAGTGTGGTGGGGTTTGATAGGGTAATTGTGTGGAAGGAGAGGCCTTGTTTTCTTGGTGTATGAGAAAGCATTTGGTATCTATGAGTAACCATTCACTTTCATTAACAAGGTTGGGTATGAGCAGGCAGGAAGAGGGAACTAGAGGAGAGTGATGAACCAGGGGAGGGCAGCCAAGGATGGGGTGAGAGAGAGGGTAAATGCCTACCTAGCAAAATTTCCTATTGACATTCTTAAGAGTGCTAGTAATGAGGGAGGGCCTTTCAGTAACGTGAAGCTGGGATGTTCCTATTTCTTGGTTAACATGGGTGACAGGGCCTTGGAGGTGAAGTGTAAAGGACCACAAAGAGGTTTCCTAGGGGAATTCCATTAGGTGATTGCCGGGAAATGTGTAAGTGAGCGTCAGTAGGGATAGTTGTTTGTATGGCTAGTGGTCCAAAAATGGGGGGTGTGGAGTTGACGTAAGAGGAAAAATTATGTAGGTAGGTGTGAAGAAGAGCAGCAGCCTACTGGTATGAGATATCCGGGTGTTTTTGTCGAATGTTTCTAGAAAGTAGAGGAGGTCTTCTGAGGGGCACAGTTGGGGGTTGTTGAAGGAAGTCTGGAGGTGTAAAAAGATGGGAGAGTTTGCCCAGTCTGCTGGTAGGGCGGGGACGGCTGTGTAGGAGAAAGAGGAGAGGGATATGCTTAGCCAACAATCTCTAACTAAGGAAGGGTCTGAAATAGGAGACAGTGGGTTAGGCTGATGGTTTGTTGGAGGTAATTAGGTAGGGGTAGAGGGTAGCAGGAGGATGGGAGTGAGGTTGAGTGAATATAAAAGAAGAGAAGAGGACTTCATCGAGGTGGAAGAATTGGAGAGTTCCCTGCCATAGAAGGTCATCTCTCCACTCTAAGAGAGAGTTAGGGGTGGCAGCCTGATTGTAAAACCGTGAAATATCAGCTGTAATTGCTTGGAGGAAAAGTGTATACTGGCAGTGTAAACAAGAGCAGAACATATAAAGAGAGACTTTCTGAGGTTTGGTTTAAGTAGAAACGGTATGTTAGGTTTATATAGGGTTATTCTTCCACTTTGGGGATATGGGTGAGTTTAAGAGAAGTAGGGGAGAGTACTTGGGACTTCCAGGAGGGGGTGGAGGAGTTAGGCTGATTGTCTGATGGACCCACTGGGGAGGGTCTTGTAGATGGACAGCAGTTGAGGTGCTACAGATGACCAGGAAGGGTCCTATCCACCAAGGCTACAGAGACCAAGGAGTTAGGCTTTTAACTAGGACTGACCTCCGGCTAGGGTGTCTTCATATGCCCGGTTGTCTGGAGTTCTAGAGTGGTAAGAGAAAATTAGCAGCCTGGTGGATTTCATGTCTGGCCTATTAGAGGACTGGAAGATAATCACCAAGAGGACTGGTGTCTGGAATTAAGATTATGCCCAAGCAGAAAAG